AAAAAGATATACGATTGGAAAGAAAACGGAAAAATGAAGAACCAGTTATAAGATTTGCATGGAAAGGCCAATTAATGTTAATTAGGAGGAGCATTGTCACCTAGGTAGCAGATTTATATTTTCTTCTTCTGTTTTGTTTGTTTATTTTGCATTATGAGTTGCATTTTTTTATTTTTACATTTTTTTTCTGGATTAATGCATTAGTATCTATTTGAATCTGTAATTAAATTCCACATGAAAGCTCTGTTTGAATTTTTTTTTCATATTTGGTTATTTGCCTTTAAGTGAAACTCAGTGAATTGGAGCTGTTCACCTTATTATATGTTCCTGATTGATTGACCAGGCAACAGTAGATTTGCTGAAAGATGAGCTGTGTTCAGATGACTCTGTGCATGAAGTCTAACAATCCAATGATAAGTAAAATGGATGTCAGACGTGTATCATGGCTGCCCTCCTTTCCTTCCAATCCATTTGTTCTACCAATCTGTGCTAATCATCTTTCTAGAATTTCAGTAAAACTTTCATCCAGTGCATCACCTTTTCAACGGTTTGCACCACGTTTAGGACACAAGAAAAACAACTGCATTTCGAAGTTTCATCAACGATCTCCTGTTTGCTTACTAGGAGGCGAGGATAATTCTGCAAGTGAGAATGAGGTGAAAAGCTTTAATCTAAGTCTACATATGCAATGGAGATACTAATATAAGTCTGCAAGCAATATTGATTATGTTAGGGGTTAGTATGTGTTTAATTAGAAGCTTCAGAAAGAAAATTATGGCAAAATAGCAACTTGAACCTCTGGCATGGAGCATTTGCCAGTTAGACATTCTATTTTTTGCCAAATCTATAGACCAAGGCAAGATTTGATTGTAATGTAGATATGGGGAACTTTATGGACTTATTTTTCACCATTAGTTTTTCTAGAAAGTAGGATTGTCAGTTTGGAGCATGCAGCAATTTTGCCTTGTAGTGAGATTAATTAGGTTGTTATTGAATTATGACATTAAGAAAAAAATTTAAAAAAGCTTCCAAAGAAATCGCTCCATAACAACTAAAGTGCTGTAGCACATTCAAATGATATAATGTCTGTTTTTGCCCATGTTATAATTATCTTCCTAAAAAGTTAATTTTAAACTGAAATATGTTCTATTGAAAGCAAAATAAAAAGCATAATGTGCTGAAATGTGCAACAAGATATATGGAGAATAAAAGATGCTCATAAAAATTCTATCTTGTATAGTTTTATGTACGAGGCAATATGTTAATTTGACAATTTTTCACTTCTAATAAGGGATCTCCTTGGAAAGCTATTGAGAAAGCTATGGGAAGTTTTAAGAAACCACAATCAGTTGAGGATACCTTGAGGAAACAAATGCAGGAACAAGAATATTATGGAGGGGGCGAAGGCAGTATTCCACCACGTGATAGAGGTGGCAGCAGTGGTGGTGGCAATGATGCAGGAGGACCTGAGGATGAAGGCCCCACAGACATCATGGATGAGACCCTGCAAGTGATCTTAGCAACCATGGGCATTATACTCCTGGTAAACTTGCTTGATTTTATTTTCTCATGTTTTTGTGAGCACATAAAGCACTTTTGTGGAAATTAAATGTCAGTGCAAGGCTACTTATCCAGCAGTCCTAATGACAAACGATCTTAATTTAGGGCATAAATTGAAAAGAGAAAACCAGGAAAAGAAAAGAGAATATAAGAAGGATTACATTACTAGCACAATCCAGTGGCAAAATTGTTAGACATGGATAAGAATGAGGCTTTCTGTTTATTTATTTATGCAAGCCATGTATGTGGTGGAGCTAAAATGTTCAAAGGCAACCTGTTCAAAGTAAGAGCCAGTTATATAAGTCACATTTTTGTATATTCTATTAAATCTCACATCATGCTTGAACTTTCTTTCTTGGACCTATGGCTGAAAAACTCAGCATAAGTGCAAAATAAATATCCATTGCTTAGTTTTGTTTTACCTCCTCTCTAGGTATTAGTTATCTTTTGAAGAAATCAAGCAGAAAATGGACAGGTTTTAAAATATTGATGAATTACTTTGTAACTTGAAGACTAGTAGGTTTTTAGGAAGTTGTATACATTAATAGTGCAGTATTTTGCAATCTGGACTGCAAAACATTAGACATTGGATTGAGCAGCCCTCACCCATTATCAAGGGGCCCCTCTTCAGTCATCATCCAATGGTTTATGTTTTGTAGTCTAGACTGCAAAACACTTTTTTAGTATGTGTAAATGTTTTCACAGTTTGTGGTTTTGCAGCTCGGACTGTTCCAAACTGTAAAACCAAGACCGTCTGATTGAGAGGGCTTGCCCCATCTGATGGTCAGTTTTGTGCGGTCTAGTGTAGACTGAACCACACAACATTTCTGAAGTTTTTATTACTCCATTTTTTTTTCTCTAGAATCAATGTCATATATGCAGGATTTATTTATTAATTTGTGTGGGATAAAACAATCCGGTTATAAATATGGGATAATAACTTTTTTGTTTATTCATTTGTCTATCTTGACTGCTACTTTCAATTATGAAACCAGTTCATATTTAACTACTGGCTTTTCTAACAAGTACAACTTTTGAATCGAAACTGTAGTCCCAGTGCACTTACAGGTTCCCTGGCACTGTAGATATCATGTCTGTGCCTTGACTTTACTTTTCAAGCATTTTCTCAGTGGCTTCTAATGTTTTATTTGTTGTGCTGTAGTATAATTGCATTTTCAAGTGAAAATCTTTTGGATGGACATTTTCAAGTGAAAATGATAGATGATAATGATTATATATCCCACTATCTCATTTGTATCTGACATTTGCAGCTCAATGATTTTTTGTTACAGTATGTATACATCATTAATGGTGAGGAGCTCTTACTACTAATAAAGGACTATGTAACATATCAATTTCGTGGAACCAAGAGTACTCGATTGATTCAAGCCATGGACAAATGGGGAAGGTTCTATGAGAACCTAACAGAGAAGAAGGTATATGATCAACATTGGTTGGAACAGGCTATTATCAATACCAGAACATGGTTTGACTACCCCGAGAAATACGGGCGGGTCTTCAGTTCATCTTTGACGTCAAATTCGGAGGAGTCATCATAGTCATGTTCAAATTATATTTCCTCGTTTGTAGATGATGGACATTTCATGTTTGTTTACAGATAAAGTTTATCTATTATGTTCTGATGTTCAATTGCCTTTACTCCCTTTTAACATAGATACTAATGTTTCCATGTTATATGTGAAATAATGAAACAATCCTCTCAAATAGCAATATGTTTAGGTTAAAAGAATGGAGGGAAGGGAGGAGAGGAAAGAGGAATTTTATTCTTTCATTTTTCTCCTCTCTCCTGTTTTCTTTTTATTTGAGTAAGTAAATAAATTAAAAGAAAAAAAAATAAAAGGTTCCTTTCCTCTTCCCTCTTCTCTAATTATTTTGATAACCAATTAAGATAATTTTTTTTCCTCTCCTCTTCTCCATTCTTCTCAATCCAAACATATTATAGGGTTACACATTTTTTGGTTTGAAATAAAAGTAACTAAACCAAAAAATTTTTTGGTTAAATGGTGAAATGGTTAGTTTGTTTTTAAATCAAGTTTAACCAAATTAAAATTTAGGTTCGGACACGGTTATGACCCTAAAACCATAAAAAGGGAAAGGACTCTCCAATTTGACCGCATATCAATTCCAGGTTTAAGTTTAACATACAACTGCAGTTGCAGAAATCTTACATGAAAATCTTACTCTTTTATGAGAAAACTTCTTGTGCAAAATTTTACTGTTACGTAAGAATACTTCTTGACATGGTCGATAAGTGCAAATTCAAGAAAATTAATGTAGGAATGGTACTGCAGATACATGATGTGGGAACACTTTTCTAAGCTCTTAACCTAGGCCAAAAACACCATAGCACTCCAACTGATCATCCATTGGAAGGCCAAAGCCCCAAAGAAACTGCTCTCTGAAACATTTAATTGATCATTCTTGCATGCATTAATTTTTGGTTTCCAAGAACAATAAAAAGGGACAAAAAGTCACATTTAACTCATATATTTGTTATTCCTAAGAAACGAAAAGAAAGAAAATTATACTAAAAAAATAGATAAGGTGGCAATTTTTAACTTGCACTCGATTCATTGGTTAACTTTTGAGTTTTTCTTAGATTTTAAAATATAAAGGATGTTTACATAGAGGAAAAATTATGGAGGACATTGATTATGGAAAGAAAAATATCTAAGATGTGAAAAGGGAATTTGGCCTAAGTTAGCAATTAATGAAGAAATTTATCCAAAATTAAATTGTTGTAGCCAATGAAAAGTCATCATAGCTTGAAAATTTGCTTATTATCATTATTTTACAAAGTATTTTTTCATTTACATTCTTTTACTTTCTTTTTGGTTCATTAACATCCTTTTACATTATAAATTTTCATTTTTGTCATTCAATTGATGGTGCTTGTAGCATGCCATCAACACTACTAGAAATTGCTTATATTTATATCGATATAATTCAGACCGATTGATTTTGGTCTAAAAATATATTAATTTAGACCGTTATTGGCCAAAATACTTATTGATTAGGAATGAGCAGTCAATTTATTAAAAACCTTTTTTTTGGACCTACAATGGTATGAAAATTGTTGGCGCTAAAACAGCAAAAATGCACCAAACATTTTTTAGATCAATAGAGGTATGAACAATGTCATTGAAAAAATAATTTGCCAGACAACTAGAGGGATGTTTTTTGTTGGATATTTTCAGACCGACACCAACATGAAAATCACAAGGCAATTTTTTAACTTAAAAAATATATAAAGGCAAGATTTTTTTTTATTTAAATTATGGGCCATTATATTTGGACCACTACCGGGCCATAAAAGTTAATCAGACGATAGTGGTCCGAATATGAATTCCCTCTTTTTTCTTTTTTCTTTTTTTTCCTTTCAATATTTTATATTTATTTATGAGTTTTATTCTTTATTTATGATTTCAATTGTATGCTATTTGTTAGTTTATGTCACTATCATTATGTTTATTCTATTTTACATGTTTTGTATTGTCATAATTATATTTATTTTATTTAATATATTAATATTAATTTATTAAATACTATAATTATATTATGTGTATTGTAATTTGATTGATATTTTCTACTTTATAATTATATAATTATATTTATTTTATTTAGAATGTTAATTTTGATCTATTAAAAGCTTTAACTATATACTAATTAAATTATATAATTATTTTACTTGTATTGTCTTTTTTTTTTTTTAAATTATATTTAGATCATTGTTGGTCTGGAATACTTATTTGGACCAATAGCTCCAGACCAATAGTGGTCCGAGTATGAATTTCCTTTTTTTTTTCCATTCAATGTTTTATATTTATTTATGAGTTTTATTTCTTTATTTATTATTTCAATTATTATGTTATTTGTTAGTTTATATCACTATTATTATGTTTATTTTATTTTGCATGTCTTTTATTGTCTTAATTATAATTATTTTATTTAACATATTAATCTTAATTTATTAAATACTATAATTATATTATG